CTTATTCGTTTTCCCATGAGCAAGAGAAACAGAGAGAATGAGCATCTCTAATAGGATCCTGAAGCTATTATCCAACCCCTAGCCTTAGCCAGCCCCAGATCATGCATATGTATGCTGGGAATTCAGGGAGGTCTTTAGATGCAAACCCAGAACCATCCCATGTGGGTTAGCCTCAGGGAGTGATCTGTTTTGCCATTGTCTTACTTTCTTAGTTCAGACTAAGAGTTGGAGGTTGGAGACTTCACTTTGAGGCATTCTCTAATCCAGCTGGTATCTGAGAGTCCTAGATAAAATTCTTGCCCGAATTAATAAGAAGGTGGCATGGAGGAAAATGTAGGAAAGGGGTTCAAAAGTCCACACACAAAGAAAAACCTGTATACAATGAAAATGACCCTTAAGAAGCCTCCTGGAAGGAGACTAGCAGTTAGCTTAATGGCTATGTCTCTGGATTCCCATGTAGTCGACCACGGTTCGAGTCCTGGACCCGGTGGCTTAAATTCACGCTGGGCACGTGTGCACACGTGCTCAAGATCCTGAGAGGAGAATGGAGGAGAAGGGATTGTAACGTGGCCATCCCCCCTGGGGGGGGGGGATTTCTCGCTCTCTGTCTCTCTCTCTCTCTGTCTTTCTGGAGAGCGCACGCACCCTATAGCAAAACCCCCTCCAAAAAAAAAAAAAAAAGAAAGAAAAGAAAAAAAAGAAGCCTCCTGGAAGGAGCTATATCAGAAATAGTTTCTTGATATGCTCTCTTCCTCATTTGGAAGACACCATCACTGACGAAGAGCTGCCTTTTATTTAGGAGCCATGTGGCACAAACCAAGCCCACAGGACTTTAGGTCATGGAGTCACTGAAATGTGCTGAGGCCTTCAGCAGGCTCTGGGAACAGCCATCAGCCAGGAGCTGAGGGCTCTCAACCTTCCTCAGCTTCTTTCCGGGGCTGCAGAGGAATTGCACATGCTAGTTACAGTCATTACTCTCTGTTTTCTTGCCAAATGCGTAGAGATGTTCTCAAGTAAATAAATGTACACATGATGTAACTCCTCTGTACTCTCTTCTCCATTTGGCTAATAATCCTCGGCACATGCACCACTGTTGAAAATCCTGAAGAAGATGGAAGACATGTGCCATTTATTAAATTGGGATCTACTCTGTAGATCTTTTTCTCTGTGTTTGGAGGCATTCCTAAAAGATTTTGTTTATCTAAATGGGAAGATATTATACACATCGTTCTGCAACTTAGTATTTTCACTGAATAATAAAATGTTGGTGATTTTTTCCCCTTCGTATATCAACAAATATAGACTGACCACATCCTTTATAAGTATTCCATATTATGGATATTCTGTAATGTTTGCAACAGTTAGCCACTGTTGAACTGTTGTTGTTGTTGTTGTTGTTGTGTCCAGTTTTCACTATTACAAAAATGACTATAATAAAAATTCTATGTACATATATCTTTACATATTTATGTAACTATTTCTAGGAGATAAATTAATAGACCAAATTGTTTAGTCAAGGAGAATGTATATTTAGAATTTTAACACCTATCGCTATCTCAAAATGTTTAATAATTTCGCTCCATATTCCCCAACACTGTATACTATCAATCTTTTTTCATTTTTGCCAGTCGAATGAGAGAGTGTTTCATTTTACTTTTGTTTCTTTAACCCTAGAGAGACTGAATATCTTTTCAAATGTTTATTGGCAACTTCTGTTTTCTTTAAGAAAAAATGTTAATAGCATACCGAGTTTTTCACTGGCTTGCTTACGTATTTCATATAGATTTTCAGGAGCTCTTTTATGATGGACATTAATTTTTTGTTGTCAATATTTCTTCTAATGTGACACTTGTCTTTCATTTGTACATGGTGTCTTTTTTCTTCTAGGTTTATTTTATTCATTATAGAGAACATGTATGTGTGCACAGGAGAGAAAGAAAGAGAGAGATAGTGGGGGAGGGAGAGAAAAGGGGAGAGAGTGAAGGAGGTAAAAGGGACAGGACTCCTGACAGGGTTTTGTCACGATGCAATCTCCTTCCCTGAGCCCTCAGTTCAGCAAGATTCTGTGCTTTTGTGCATGTGCCCAGAATATTTCAGGCTGAGCAGGGGATCCAAACCTGTGCTTGGGCAGGTGACTCCTTGCAGTGCGGTCAGTATGCTATATACTGCAGCACCTGTTTGGACATGTATACGGTGTCTTTAATTCAACATTTTTTTAAATAGATGCCTACTAGGTGTTAAGTCTTGTTTAGATAGGCTCGTTCTGCCTCAAAATTATGCTCTTAGAAATTCCTTTTTGAGGGAACCAGCAGTTAGCGTAATGGCTATGTCACTGGACTCCCATGTAGTCGACCGCA